CATAGCCATGCTGCGATGATCTCATGTGTCTGAGGCCCTGAGACCCCACAGATCCCTCACGTGGCCGTCCTGACCCTCTAGCACCTAGAGCAACACCAGGGAAGCCCCTCATGGCCTCAAGTGCTCCTTTGTTACAGCTGTTTTTAACTGGTTGCATTTCATCTCCTGGAGAATGTTCTGGTAATAAGCTTCCCACTGCCCCATCCTTTTCTCTCGTGTGGGTACCTCCCATGTTTCCCAGCTGGGGTCACTGTTTCAGCAGGCATCTTGTATTTTAAGAACAATGAAAATAGTCTTCCAGAAAAAGACGGGGGCAGCAGCAACATCTGCCCGCCTGCCCGCCTGCCCTGCCTCCCTCCCCCCTTCCTCCTTCCCTCCTTCTCCACACACACCCTAGGATGTACCCTATGGGCTGTACCCTCTTTAGAAAACAAATTTTTTTTTTTGAGAGTACATTTATTAAAGCTGGTGAAAGCAAAACAGGGAAGCATTTAGGATAGAAGCAGCAACAGGAGTGAGCGAAGGCGGGGCTGCTTCGGCTCACTGGAAAGTCAGGGAAAAGGGGCTTTGGAGACGGGTTCAGGGGGCGGGTCCAGGATGAGTTGCCACTGCCCATTGCTCCCTTGGTTGCCAGGCTCATGGGGACCGTAGAGTTGAGGAGAAGCACGCCTGTGGAGAAGGAAAGGCGCGGGCGTGCTCACGAGAGGCAGAGTGCCTGCGCTGTACCCTCCTGACTGGGCAGATAGTGAGTGGGAACCAGAGCTGCCAGGGGTGACTGGGTTGCCCTGTGGGCTCAGTATCGCTTCTTTGTGACTCTTCTTGCGGGCCCTTATGGTAAATGGAGATAAGCTAGAAGGCACTACAAATAGGCCGTCTTTGCCCCTGCCCTAGGTAATGTATTCTGGCAAGTCACATGTATAAGGCAGTCAGCTTATTTCTTAGATCATCTAGGAGCTACCTGATGCCCAGTTGCCAGAGGAGAAGACGGGGCCCCTGCCCTGATGGAGCTGGTTGTGTTGGGCTTGGTCTCAGAACCCTGACAGGGGCCTGCTTTCTTTGCTCCTTGAAGATGTAATAAAAGGTAGCCCAGCTCTCTCTTATCTGCACCTTCCCCAGGCCTCAGAGGAGAAGGTGCGGACCACGGAGACACAGGTGCTTGTGGCATCCGCACAGAAGAAGCTGCTGGAGGAGAGACTGAAGCTCGTCTCAGAGCTGTGGGACGCCGGCATCAAGGTACGAGAGGCAGGCCCCAGCGTGGCGGCCCGCGAGAGTGCGGGCACAGGCTGAGTGGAAGCTCGCCCACAGCCACCCTGCTAGTCTCTGATTTCTTGGGGTGGAACTAAGAGCAAAGCAGCAGCTTGGGCCCGCAGGAGGTTATCCCTGAGGACGGCAGAGCCAGCCTTCATCCTCTGCCCGGGTCCCCTGCAGGCCGAGCTGCTTTACAAGAAAAACCCAAAGCTACTTAACCAGCTGCAGTACTGTGAGGAGGCAGGCATCCCACTGGTGGCCATCGTCGGTGAGCAGGAGCTCAAGGACGGGGTCATCAAGCTCCGTTCAGTGGCCAGCAGAGAAGAGGTAAGCTGGCGGGCAGCAAGGCTGAGGGACAGGGAATGGGTGCCATTTGTGCAGGCCAGTGCCCGCTCAAGGGCCCAGCAAAAGCCTGCCATTCATACTAGTAGCCACTTGTAAAGGACTTCAGGGCTTTTAACCTGTTACTAAGGTCACAGGAGGGTAAGAACTTCATCCCCACAAACGCTGTGTCTGGCTCCCCCAAGAAGCACTGTCCACCCTGAAAGCTGGATTGGGTTCCCGCTCCCAGCCGCACCGAGCCGAGCCTGATGCCTGGAGGAAGGAGTGGGCGCTCAGGGAGCAGTGGAGTCGGGGAGGCTCATCCCACTTCTTTCCCCCATCCTGGCCAGGTGGACGTCCGAAGAGAAGACCTTGTGAAGGAAATCAGAAGGAGAACAAGCCAGCCCCTTTGCATCTCCTGAACCGAGGGAACTATCTGAGGAAAGTGGGACAGCAACTATTAAGGCTAAGACAAAACACTGCATATGTACTTACACGGCTTTACACTCTTCTGTTCCAGCAGGAAAACCTCAACAGTAGTCCGAACAGAGACTTTTTATTTTTATTATGATTATTTTATTGGTAATCAGGCTAAGAGGGCCAGGTATTGTGCCATTTTCCATAGGGGGCCCTGGGGGCTCTGTCCAGTCTGGGCTACAGGGGCCGGGCCTGGATGGCCTCCTCAGCAGGGCCCTCCACCAGGTGCCAGGACCGCCCCGCTACACCAGTCGCCGAAGGTGCAATAAAATATCTCAACCACCGGAGCCTGCCTGTGTTGCTTTTGCCTAGCCCTGCCTTCCCTGTCAGAGCCTGACCGCTTCCGCGGTGGAAAATGGGGAGAAAGACTTACAGCAGGCTCTTGCCCAGAGCGAAGGGTGCCCCCTGCGTCCTTCTTGCCTCCAGCATCCCTCTGTGCCCGTTTGCCAGCTCGCTCTTTGGAGTTGGGGCTGCCTGCAAAGTCAACCGCTAGAGTTTCTAGCTTTCACCTGAGGGTCGTGGCGCACGTGCGGCGGATACCCCCACCCCTCTTGGGAGGCGGGGTCGTGCTCAGAGCCAATGAGAGCCTGGAGGGGTGGAGGAGTAGGGAAGCTTCCAGAGGCAGGAAGGGAGAAGGTTATAAAAGGGAGCACCGACGAACCCACACGAGAGCCATGCAGTCCAAGCGGGAGTGCGAGGTGAGTGGCAGCGATGGGTGGACGAGTCCCACCTGCGCGGGGAGTGGGGTGGGGCGGGCGCGGCGATCCGCCGTTCCAACTTGCCCCTTCCCCCTCAGCTGTGGTGTGAGAGGGTGAATCCGGAGAACAAGGCGGCGCTGGAGGCGTGGGTCAGGGAGACGGGCATCTGCCTGGTGCAAGTGAACGGGCAGAGGAAGTATGGCGGGCCACCCCCAGGTATACTAGACACAGTCCTACGCCTGCTGGGCTACACCATCCTCGATGGCCCCCGTCCGGCCCCTCTGGGGGAGGCGCTTACCCCGATTTTCCACAATCAGAAACTCCTAACTTCGCGTTACCCCCTCCCCCAGCAAACGTGGAAACGCCTTGCAGTGGCTTTCCACCCACCCGCCCCCTCGAAGAAGGGAGCCAGTCTTAAGGTGCACTTCCTCTGTGCCAGCCCCTTTTTAGCCTAATCACCCAATTATGCCAACGACGCCGGGTATGGATGTTGTACCCATTTCACAGACGGTCCCGTGTACTCACACGGCCCTTCCCGCGCCGGGTCCCAGGGCCCCTAACCCGGAACATCCTGATGGATGACGATCCACCCCCCACCCCATTCCCTTCCCCCAGGCTGGGTAGGCAGCCCGCCGCCGCCCGGGTCGGAAGTGTTTATCGGTAGGCTGCCCCAGGACGTGTACGAGCACCAGCTGATCCCACTGTTCCAGCGCGTGGGCCGTCTCTATGAGTTCCGCCTGATGATGACTTTCAGCGGCCTGAACCGCGGCTTCGCCTACGCCCGCTACAGCTCGCGGCGCGGGGCCCAGGCCGCCATCGCCGCCCTGCATAACCATCCACTGCGGCCCTCCTGCCCGCTGCTCGTGTGCCTCAGCACCGAAAAGTGCGAGCTGAGTGTGGACGGGCTGCCACCGGCTCTGACCCGCCGTGCGCTGCTGCTCGCGCTGCAGCCGCTGGGTCCGGGCCTTCAGGAGGCGCTGCTGCTGCCCAGCCCAGGGTCGGCAGCCACGCAAATGGCACTACTCAAGTTCAGTTCGCACCGTGCTGCAGCCATGGCCAAAAAGGCTCTGATGGAAGGTAGGAGTGGCGGCTGCTGGGGGCCGCTGGTTGGGGCAACAGTGTTCTGCCAGGCACCTTACCTCCGCACGGCGGGCAAAGTCGAAAGATCTTAGAGTCAAGAATACCCGAATTTGTAAACTTACACTATTTACTTGAACTCAATTTCCAGTGGTACTACCACTTACCTAAATTTAACACTTCCTACAGATTTCACTCCTGACTTAATCCTCAACATTCCAATGGAAAAACACACATACACACAGCCCCACCCCCATCCCCCATCCCCCTTAAAAGAGATTGTTTTAAGAGAAGGGGACTTGCCCAAGGCAGTCCAACTGAGACTGTTGTCTGTTGTGGGAAATTAAATGGGTACTTAGCACATTCCTTGATTCAGGGCAAGTATTCACAGTAAAGTTTAGCTATTTTATGATTATCCAGTGAGCAAAACCAGCATTTACCAGTACTCCTACAAGAAAACTTAGAAGGTAGCAGTTATTACACCCCCTTTACAAATAAAATGAGCTCTATGTTAACTTGCCACAGGTCACACCATCTGGAAATGGGAGGCTAGAAATTAAAACAGGCTGGGGGCTCAGGCCCAGGGCTAAGACCTGTATCGCCTCTGCCTTTTTCTTGCAGGGCAGTCGCGCCTCTGTGGAGAGCAAGTGGCTGTGGAGTGGCTCAAGCCAGACCTGAAGCAGCGACTCCGCCAGCAGCAGCTTGCGGGGCCCTCCCCAAGGCGCCTACAGCCAGAGGGTAGCCGATTGGCCCTGGCGAGGGACAAGCTAGAGTCCCAAGGGGCTCGAGCTGCCCTGCAGCTGCTGTGCCAGCGGATGAAGCTGGGTAGCCCGGTGTTCCTCACCAAGTGCCTGGGCACGGGCCCTGCTGGCTGGCACCACTTCTGGTACCAGGTGGTGATCCCTGGGCATCCAGTGCCCTTCAGTGGCCTTATCTGGGTTGTGCTGACCTCGGAGGGGCAGGATGGGCATGAGGTGGCCAAGGATGCTGTGTCGGCGCGGCTCCTGGAGACACTGAGTGAGTCTGGGGCCAGCCTCCTGTGGTCCTCCGGGGCCCTGAGTGAGTCTGGGGCCAGCCTCCTGTGGTCCGCCGGGGCTGAAGCAGGTCCCATGGTTAAGCAGTAACCCCACCCGCCCTGCCGGCAGCCCGAACAAGTAGGCAGAGCCGTCAAGTCTCCAACCCAGCAGGCCTGGGCAGCCACCATCTGATCCCAAAAAGGGGAGGAGCGCGGCCCCGCTCTACCTGACATACCTCCCAGCTGGGGCACAGCCCCAGTGCCGCTGGGGACAGCTCAGGTTTGGCTAAGCTGTGGTGAGGGACCTTGCCCTCCCTCTCCCAGCCCAGGGTTCTCTTTGGCCTTCCTGTGGGGGACACACACCCTCTCTCTCACCCCGTCTCCTCCCACAGCCTAGCATGAATCTTTGCTTATTTTCTTGATTTGTCTTTGTTGGTTTTTATTTGGGGGATGGCCAAGCCAAAGGGTCAGAAATCTGCCGTTTGTCCCCACCACTTGGCGTTGTGGTTTTGGTGTATGTGTATTGTTGGATGGTTCTTCTCTGCTGGTTGTATTTATATTAAACCCCTGGTTGGTGTACACCTGTGTCCGTGCCGTCTTGCTCCAGCTGCAGGCCTGTCTGACACTGGCAGTGTGAGCAGCCTCTTCCTCCCCGCAGTCCCGAGCCCGCCTGCCCTCCTCCTGCTGCACAAGAGGGTGTGCTAGGTTCACAGCCTCTGGAGGTTCAGCCCAGGAAACAAGACTCTTGCCCAATGAGGACCCGTCTTCGAGATTCGGCTCATTCCCTCAGTCACTGTCGTCCTCACTCTCCTCTTCCTCCTTCTCTTCCTCCTTCTCCTCTTCCTCTTCCCTCAGTCCTGCAAAGAAGTCATCGGTGCTCCAAGCCTTGCTGCTCAGCGCCCGAAGCGGCCCTCCCTTTTTTTTGCGCCGACGGTAGTCATCCACCACCACCGCCCGCAACTGGGCCATGTCCCAAAACTTGAGGCACTGGTCATGGCCGCTGCTGGCCAGGAAGCGGCCACAGTGGGAAAGGGCCAGCTTCTCCACAGGCTCCCCGGCGTGCTGGCCCACTCTGCCCACCACTCGGTTCGGCAGGATGTTCACAGCCCTGGGCAGAGAGAAAAGAGCGTTGGGTGTTGGCTGGTTGGGCCTGCCCTTCTGTGACCCCAGGGCCCGGCTTCTCTCACCTGATGACTCCATCGGTGGACCCAGCGCACAGCAGACTGTCGGTGACCGGAATCATGCAGTCGATGGACTCGGCTTTCAGGGCAAAGCGGTCACTTGTGGCCCCAAAGCCATTCCAGTTGAAGAGGTAGATGGTACCTTCACTGGAGCCACAGGCCACCTTCCTCCCACACTACAGAGAGGACAAACCATGTTTGTGGACCATGTCAGACCAAGTCCCTAGCACACCCCCATGCCACCATACCCCAGCTGTACTTTCATGATTGTGACAGAGGTCAGGTCTCCAGACTGAGGTTCTGAAAGCAGCTCAAACCGGCGTCGCTTAATATTGAAGACACCAAGGCAGCCATCCCCGCTGTAGAGAAAGCAGAGCAGCAGGCTTGGCCAGAGGCTCCGACTGAGGGAGACATTTAACACAGGGAAGGGAGGGCAGGCAGCTTGGGGGCCCTACCTGGCTGTCAGCAGCAGCTTCTTGGCGGGGTCCAGAGCCATGTCGGCAATGTACTCCTCGTGCTGCCGCATATCCATCAAGGGGCCCTCCTTCCGCTGGTCCCAGAGCCGGATGCCACCTGTGTCATCCCCAGTGGCTAGAACATTGCTATCCACCAGCAGTAGGCTGTTGATAGGGGCACTAGAGGCACAGATGCAGTTCTTGGAGCATTTCTGTCCCAGCAGGGAGCTATGAGTCCTTACCCCTCACCTCAGCACGCAGCTGACTCCCCTTACCCGTGAGCCTTGGAAATGCGTCTTTCCAGTCGGCCTTGCTCCACATCTAGAACATGGATGGCTTTGTCCTTGGAGACAGTAACAAGTTCTGGGGAAAAAGGTGCCCAGGTCATGGTGCTGCTCACCACTCCCTTCCCACCAGCACACTGCTGGCTGCCTTCCCTAATACTCACTCTGCCCATCTTCAGAGAAGACCACGGCACGGCAAGACTTGAGGTGGTGACCTGAGGACCAGAGCTCCTTGGTTTCTCCCTCTTGGCAGGAGTAGGAAAAGCTGGGGGAGAGGGGGAGGAGAATGAAGGACCCCAGACCCTGCCTGCGATACATGGAATGTCGAAATCAGCTACTCTACCTTCCACCTACCTAGGAGTTCCTGCTATATACCCCTAAGCATAAGGAGCTTACCATCCCATTTTTCAATTTTCAGTGAGCTTCAAATCTTAGGTTTTTTTCTCATTTGATATATGGTAATTCAAAGTACATTTGCTTGGGACTTTGTGACGTCACCCCACCCCTCTTCATCCTAGCAAGCCCCAGCCTGAATAAGTATTAGGTCTGGACCACTGCAAAGGTCTAGAAATATTTGTTAAATCAATGACGCCCTGGCTGGTGGCTCAGTTGGAGTGTCATCCTGTACAATGAAAGGTTGCAGGTTCGATCCCTGGTCAGGGCACATGCCTAGGCTGTGGGTTTGATACACAGTTGGGGCGGGTACAGGAGGCAGTCAAGCAATCAGTTTCTTCCTAACATCAGTGCTTCTCCCTGACCAAAAAACAAACCAACCAACCAACCAATAAAAACATCCTCGGGTGCCCTGGCTAGTGTGGCTCAGTGGACTGAGCACTGCGCTGCAAACCATAAGGTCGTTGGTTTGATTCCCAATCAGGGCTTATGCCTAGGTTGCGGGCCAGGTTGCCAATTAGGAGTGTGCAAGAGGCAACCAACCAACTGATGTTTCTCTCATTTTCTTAAAAAAAATGATGCCCTGGCTGGTGTAGCTCAGTGGATTGAGTGCTGGCCTGCAAACTAAAGGATCACTAGTTCGGTTCCAAGTCAGGGCACATGCCTGGGTTGCAGGCTAGGTTCCCAGTAGGAGGCGCACAAGAGGCAACCACAAATTGATGTTTCCCTCTCCTTCTCCCTCCCTTCCCCGCTCTCTAAAAATAAATCGTCAAAGTCTTTAATAAATCTTTTAAAAATCAAAGAGAATATATATTTGGGTAAGGGTTAAAAAAAATTAATGACAGAAGAACAGCCCTAGTAACTGGAAACGTAAAGAATGGTAAGACAGAACACCAGAAGGTGGAAACATAAGAGATTAGTAAGAGAGGCTCTTGCACTCTAGATCTTAAGGAGCTAGAGAAAACCACAATTAATTATGGCACATTGTGATGACACACTGAGAAGGGGCCAGGATCAAAATAGAGGTGGAAAAGAGGTACCAGCCTGTAAACTCAGCAAGACAAAGCACCTGCCCAAAGAGTATCCCCAGTCCCTGCCTCAGAGCTGACCCTCAAAAGGGCAGAATGAGGAAGTACTTAATTGCCAGTGAGTTCCAGGTGGGCAGGGCTGAGCCTACGGATTGTTTGCTCTACCCCAGTGCCTAGTATGAAAAGGCTGCTTAATAAACAGTCACATTTTTTAGTGAATGAGACAAGCATTCAAATAATTACACAAACCAATGTATGATTACAAACCATTATGAAGTTTATGAGGGAAAAGACATCTGGTGCCAAGTGAGCATCTAATCTGTAATCTAAATTAGTCTCGGGCATGCTGAAGCGTGAAGAGATGCTGAGAACTCAGGGACAAGAGGTACAAGTGTGAGGAAAGGAGTTTTCCAGGCAGAAAGAATAACGTGCAAAGGAGCTGAGGCTTCAAGGTACATTAGATAGGTAAGGATGAATGAGCACAGAAAGTAAAGGAGAAAGCGAGCAAGGGTCGGATGGTCAAGGAGTTTAGACTTAAAAGCAAAAGTAAACTATTCAAGGGTTTTAATAAAGGAAGTGAGGTGGTCGGATTTGTGTTTTCAAAAGATTAGGTAAGCAAGAAATAAAAGCAGGGGGCCCTGCTGAGCTCGTTTCAAGCTCAGTATAATAGTCAGCTGAGAAACAGTGCCCCGAAAGCCCTCTTGTCCTGGTACTTACTGTCTCTATGCTCCCTCACATTACAGCTAGCTCGTCATCTTTTGTTCTCTCAAGAGATTTGTGTGGTAACTTGTTTAAAGCCGAATGTTAATGAACGAGCCAGACCATATTAGTCTTGCAAAATTTGTCTCCTGGCACTCTCGCCTCCCAGCTCCATCCCTGGGGAGTTTCCTGACCCGGCAGCCCCCTCACCCACCACGCTCACCACTTCCCCGGTCCTGCCGTGCACCTACACAAATACGTCCCCGTCCACGTCTCCCGCCGCCAGGAGGTCGCGAGACGGGTGGAACGCCAGCCCACTGGCTGGCGCTTCCAAAACGATGTCTTCAGGGGTGTCCCTGACACGGGCCGGTACTTCCGGGGAGTCGGAGTCCTCCTCGTCGCTCCCGTCCTCCGCGGACCTCTCCTCGCACATGCGATCCATGCGCGAGAGGACTCAAGCTGCGCAGGTATAGGACAGTGAGCCCAAGAACCAGGGACCCGGCAGGAGACCGTGGCTCGGTGCACCACTTCCGCTTGGAGGCGGATGGGAGGGGGCGGGGCGGGAAGTGGCTCCAGGCGTTCTCGGTAACTAGGAAAAGGCGGGCCGGCGCAGCTGTTGTGGACGGAACGGACTCTAGAGGCCACGCCCCTGTGATCCATTACTTTCCGGTGTTGAAGCGGCAATGCCTAGGCCAGCTAGACCGCGTGGCCCTCAATCTCCTACTTAGTCACGTTTGTCCTTTCTTCTCATTCTGACCCATGCTGACAGTTTGGTGCAACCTCCCTATCAACCTAAGAAACATCCAAACTTGTAGAAAAATTGTATGAGTTTATTTGAGCCAAACTGAAGACATGCGACAAAGCAAGATCTCAGAGTTCTGAAGAATAACGATTTTGCAATTTGTTTTATGCATTTGAAATTAAGAAGTGAATGTAAGCACGATTACATGAAGGTGGGAGAAAGCAAGGTGAGGACTGGATTATATGATAGTTAACAAGATTATGTGATCTCTTGAGGATCGTTATTTCAAAGGTGTGTTAACACAGATGCACAGAAACCATGCACAGGGCTTCCTTAAGGCAAAAACACACACACACACAAAAACTACTAAAAAGTTTTAATATGCCTGGAGTGTGGCAACCCATCATGATCTGCCATTTAGGAATTTATGACCAGATGACCCCATGAGGTTACTCTTAATAGAATCGCATTTTTAGTCCACATCCCACAACCAGTAAGGAAGACTTAATGTCCTAAGGATCAGAGAGAGGGACTCCTGTAGTTCATGGCTTGGTGAAACCCAAGACTGCAACAAGCTTCAGCCAGGTTGGTCAGGAAGAAGCAAAAGCCCACACCACAAGCATTTCACATGATAGGTTGTGGAATGTAGGCAGCCCAGGCATGCACAAGCATAAGTAGCTGCCTTCCACGTGCAACATCTTCATGGCTGAAGAAACAGCATCCTGCCCATTCCTACAGTTAGGCTTCAGACCCTCAGCAGACCAGGCTAGCAGTGATCAGAGCTGGGAGGGAGTCGCTGAAGAGGAAAATGGACACAGTTGTTTTGGACATTCCAGTTAACAAAGGTTCCACAGCATGGTAGGGCAGAGAGAAGGAGCTCCTGTGGCTGAAGACACTTCTCACATCACAGTGGTATTAAAACTTCTAAGGCATCTCATACGCTGATTCCTAGTTGCCTTAATGGAGTTAGGACCTCAGAGAGGTTATATGGGAGTCCTTGTCACAATGTTGTCAACCAGAGGGTCTTAGTCACTCCCACAAGAATTGGTGGCACTGGTAGAAACTGGTTTTAAACTGGCAGTCAACCCCTAGATCTTAACCTTGGGACCTTCTAGGTATCTTTGTTTGAGCCAGGTCTCTATGACCTTTTTCCTAATGGGACTGCTGCCTACAACCATGGAACCTGGGTGTCATTTACCATCTGAAATTATAGGTGCTATTGCTAACAAAGCTCAATTTCAGCCTCTTAAATGCCTTTGCCGTAGCAAGATTAAAGTGACCAAAGGCAATGGCTATGATGGCCTTCTAGTTTTCTGAAGGATCTAGTAAGCACACAGGTTTTAAGACTTGGAATGGACAGTAGCAGCTAGGGATTTATGAGTACAAGACGGAAGTGCTGGCAAGGAGCAAAGCAAAAGCAAAAGCAGGGATGGAGTGATTTGAAGGCCAGAAAGCCCACTCTGGGCCTCAGTAAACTTTGCAGGGTGTCAAAGACACACCAAAAATCTTTGGGCCTAGCACAGGGTTTCAAGGCACTTCCCCAAGGTTATCCCTTCAGCCAGGAAAGTAGTGATGTGTGCTTAGAATTACTAAAGCTCCAAGGAGAGCATAAATTCCAAATAGGTTTTTGTTCCCACAAGTGATTCTTTATCAGGTGCCTTCACCTAGCACCTAGTCACACACAACTTTGGCATCAGACTGGCAGCACACGGGGCTGACCCTGACTCCCAGGGAATCTGGCCCAAGATTCGGCCCCCAAATGGGCTTGAATGTCTGACATTTGGGACCAACCATCCTTCTCTTGCCCATCAGTGAGGGTCGTTCCATTCCCCACTGGGCACCCTGGCTAGTAAACATCCTTACTGTCTAGAAATCTAGGACCATAGCTCAGGAAAGGACTGAGCTGACTATCTGCATGTGATCTCACAATCAGTAGAATTAATAGCCCTCTTGGTGCCTCAGGGGCCCTGGAGTAGGAGATGCTCAACACAGAGAAGACAGCAGGTTAACCAATTTTAATGGAACCAAATGATTATACAATAATATTTTATATACATTCAAGGAGAAAACAAACAAACAAAAAAATCTTGCAAATTCTTTGGGAATTGTAGAAAGCAAGCAGCGGGGAGCATGTCCTTGTAAAGACCCTTCTTGGAGTTGGAACTGGTGATTAGTATTTTGGTCTTTTCACTTCAACCCTGCAAAAGGAGAAATGAGTCAGCATGTCAATAAACTAAGCAACTCCCCAGTCCCAAAGAGGATGAATAATCATGCTCACCCATCAGCTTCCATCTTCTTCCTCTTCTCAATGATCTGCAGGAAGGAGTTAGAATGGATAGTTATAATGCCAGTCTAAGCTCACCTGAGGCCCAAGGCTGATCTCTCTGCTTCCATGGCTCCCAAACCCCTTGCCTATTCCTAGGTGAGTGGACCAGTGTCTCCTCCCAGTTGACACCCTCCCACCAGAGAGGCAGTCCCGCTTACCGCGCTAATCTTTTTCCACTGGCGATCAAGCTCTGCCTTGTCATTGGTTTCCTTGAAGCGCCTGGTTTTCCGTCCCTCAGACATTTTGATGCCATACTGGAATGCAGCCCTGAGGGGAAAAACGGGCAATTGGGAGAAGGCGGCATTAGTTGCATAGCACTAGCAAGGTGTTCCCAGAGAGCCCTGTGAGCAGAGAAGCCATATGGAAATATCCCAGCAAGACTACACCCTCTACCTTGGTGTGGGGCAGCTCCACCCATCACTTCCCTCTCTTCACAGCCTGGCCAAATTTAGTACCAACTCACTTGGGCAAAGCCTCCTTGTTGTTCATATACTCGCTGTATTCTTCCTGGGTATCGAAATCCCAGCGACCCAAGGGGCCCTTCTTGTTACCCTGTTGCACGACAATGGGAGACCGGGAAGGAAGAGATGTCAATGGAAATGGAATTTTACCCCTTGATTAAAGCCAGGCTCTCCCACAATCCCAGATTTCATCATTTATGAATCCTACCTTAATAAATAATAAAATGCTTACTATGAATTTATTATGTGCCAGGCATTAGTCTAAACACTGAATACCTATCTTAGAATTCTCTCAAAAACTCTAGTAAGAGAAAATATACCTCTCTCCATTTTCCTGAAGATGGAACTGAGGCACAAGCAGTGAAGTAAGTTGGCAAGGTAACAAAACTAATAAATGGCAGAGCCAGCGTTAAGCAAGGCTCCAGGATGGAATTAAAACCATGCTCTTAACCACTGCAGTACAGGGAGAACAAAGACAAAGGAGATGAAATTTCTTTACCATTTATGGTATGTTTGTTGGGTTTTAAGGGTTGGAGAAAAATTCCAACACTGGCAGGCTAGAATAAACTTCATTATTTTCAAAAGACTGCAATTCTTTCCGCCCTTTCTACTTATACACTAAAGACTTGCATACTGCCGAGAATAGGAATCACACCCTGGCATGTTGTAGGAGACAGATGAAGAAATATATTTTTGGCTCTCATTTGATTTTTGTACCAGCACTTTGAAATAGTTCAGTGGCCCATGACCCCACCATGCTGTCGATCCCATTACTGCAGCTGAGGGAAGGTGAGGACAAGTAAATGAGACAGATCTTCTGGGAGTGGGAAAAGGGATATGGACTAAAGAGTAACTGCCCAGAGCCTCCACCCATCCTTCCAACGCCATACCTGGTCCATTTTGCTGTAATCAACCTCCTCGTCACTGTCTACAGCCATGTCATCCATCCTAAAAAGAAGCAACAACTGAGCAGATGGTCCAGACCCAGACTCCTATGCTTCATCTAGAAACCTACCCGAGTAAGAAACTATATGCCTAGGAATGACCATCCTCCCCAGACCCCCCAGTCATGGCCTAATAGAATAGTTCATCCAAGTACAAAGTACCTATGGATGCCAGCAAATCAAATTTTCACTTTATCGCATCCTTCCCCACCCCTCCACCCCCAACCCTCTTCTCCAATCATGCCAGCCTCCCTTAAGAGTCTCACGTACGTGGCCGGGTAGCACTCAGCGTAACTGTTGGACATGCCAAAGAAATCTCCCAGCTGCTTCTTGTCCTCTGGCTTCTTCAGCATATGTTGTGTTAAAGACAATAATCCTGCCTGTAGCAGAAAAGCTTCAAGCAGAAAGGGCCAAGGGCTCAAAGCATTAACATGAAAGCTCTAAGGAGAGGACTATGAACTTGAATGGGTTCTCTCACAAAGGTCAAAGTCACAATGACTTCATCCTGGTCAAAATTAACAAAAAAGGGCAGAAGCCAAGTTGTGGGAAAGCAGGGAGGCAGGTGGAGTTGGAATTAAAAAAGAACAATTCTCGCCCTGGCAAGTGTGGTTCAGTGGACTGAGTGCCAACCTGTGAACCAAAGGGTTGTGCGCCAGGTCCCCCAGTAGGGAGCGTATGAGAGGCAACCACACATTGATGTTTCTCTCCCTCTTCTCCCTCCCTTCCCCTCTCTAAAAATAAAAATTAAAAAACAAATAAATAAATAGAGAACAATTCTCTAGAACCCAGAAACTTATTGAAATAAAGGATATGATTCAGTGCTTTCCCAGCCAGCAGAACCAGCAAACTTTTCATTGATTGATTTGATCAACTCCTTGGCAGATCCAGGTCCTGGGGAAAGAGTTCTTTCTATTAGCACATTGAAATGAGGAATTTACAACCTCTCCCCTAAAACACATTTCCAACCTGTAGCTTTCATAAAAACACTTTTTAAGCAACAGAACCCATTTAGCTAACATTTTAATCACACCCCAACTAATAATGAACTACTCTGGGTGG